GGGACGCCCGCAGTGTCCGTCTGAAAGAAGGCGAGCACCAGGTCGACGACGTCGCCAACACCCTCAAACGCTTCTTCCGTGACCTCGGGGACGGACTTTTCACTGGACGGTGGGGCAAGGACTGGCTGCGGGCGACGGGTGAGCCCTGGGGGGGCTGCTGAGGGGGGGGGGGGTCAGGCTCTCCAGCTCTGCAGCCTCCTCTGTCCTCTCCTCCAGGCTGTGTGATGCAGGAGGGGAAACACATCTGGGTCCCATGTGTTCTGGGGGCTTGAGGGGTGGGTGGGGAGCGGAGCGCACCCATGCTCACCCCTCACAGCTGGGACTGGGACAGGGCAGAGATCCAGACCCTCACCCACGCTTCGCTTCTGGATTTGGCCCCTCAGAGTAACAGGGCTGGATGCACCCGGCAGCTGGGATGCTCCCGCCTCGCAGAGTTGCTCTGGCCCCGAGAAGCTGGGATACTCCAGCCCCAGGATACTCCAGCCCCATGGAGCTGGGATGAATGGGGATAAATGGAGCTGGGGTGCTCCAGCCCTGGGATACTCCACTCCCAAGGAGCTGGGATGTCCCGGCATCATGATGCTGGGATGCTCTGGCCCTGAGATGCTCTGTCTCCATGAGGCTGGGATGTTCTGACCCCATGGAGCTGGGATGATCCAGCAGCATGAAATCGGGACGCTCTAGCCCTGGGATGCTTCATTCCCATGGAGCTGGGATACTGCAGCCTTGGGATGTTCCAACCCCATGGAGCTGGAATTCATGAGGATAAACAGAGCTGGGATGCTCTGGCCCTGAGATGCTCTGTCTCCATGAGGCTGGGATGTTCTGACCCCATGGAGCTGGGATGATCCTGGGAGCAGCATGATACTGGGACGCTCTAGCCCTGGGATGCTTCATTCCCATGAAGCTGGGATACTGCAGCCTTGGGATGTTCCAACTCCATGGAGCTGGAATTCATGAGGATAAACAGAGCTGGGATGCTCCAGCCCTGGAATGTTCCATTCCCAAGGATCTGGGATGCTCCAGCACCATGGAGCTGGCATGCTCTGGCCCTGGGATGCTCTGTTCCCATGAAGCTGGGATGTTCTGACCCCATGGAGCTGGGATGATCCAGCCTTACAGAGTTGGGATACTCTGTCCCCGTGGAGCTGGGATACTCCATCCCCACAGTGGGGCAGGAGAGTCTGAGGTGAGGTCTGGAAGAGAAGATGATAGTGGCAGTGAGTCTTAATCTCGCTTTCATCTCCCTCCACACTCATCCTCTCCCTTGTGCCCCTCTCGCAGCGCTGGAGGATGAGGAGGCGAAGATTGATGAGTACCGGAGGCTCTTGGACACCCTTCCCATGGTGAACCGGGCCACCCTGAAGGCACTCATCAACCACCTCTTTCGGTATGGCGTGGGTGGTGGGTTAGTGGGACGACCGAGCCTGGGGTTCCCGGGGGTCCTGGGTAGGCTGTGAGGCAGAGGAGATCCCTCATCCCATCATCCTGAGCAAGGAAAGGAGGGGGATTTGGGGTCAAGCTGTGCCCAAAGCCAAGTGTTACGTCCCACTGTGGTGGGTATTCCCCTTGGCATGGCCGAAGCGAAGGTCTTGGGGGGGCTCCAGGGCAGGAATCATAACAGGGCTCCCCACAGGGTCCAGCTTTTCTCTGGGGAGAACCAGATGAACACACACAACCTGGCCATCGTCTTCGGGCCCACGCTTTTCCAGACGGATGGGAAGGACTACAAGGCAGGACGCGTGGTGGAGGACCTCATCAACCACTACGTGAAGATCTTTAACGTAGGTCCACCCCCGCTTCAGCGCTCTGGATCAAGCCAATATGTGGATGTTCTCAGGGGACTGGGGAGGTGGAAGGAGGAGGAAGCTGGATCTACTCTGCCTGTAGACATCTCCTTGCTTCAGAGACAATGGGAGCAGGGGTCCATGTCCCTCCAAACCTTGGAGACTCCCAAGCCTGAGGAGAGTGGATTCTCCTGGGGACCCACATTTGCTGCAGTGAAACTTAAGGATGGTCTGATCAGCTCTGATGGCTTCCTGGGCTCTTCTTCCTTGGCAGGTCAACGACCAAGAGATGAAGAAGCAGCAGGATGAGATTATGGCCATCATGAAGATGCGGGAGGCAGCGTCTAGCGGGACGCAGGTAGGTCCTGGACATGGAGCACCCTCTTCACATGGGGACCTCACTGCCTGCTTCAGCATCTCCTGGAGATGTCCCAGGAAGGGGATGTCCATGCTAGGTGGGGGGGATTTAGCCCACACGTGGGAAGCTGCAGCTTGAAGCATTTTTCCCGTTGTCCTCCAGCAAGCCGGGGACTTCATCTGCACTGTCTACCTGGAGGAGAAGAAGACAGAGGCAGAGCAGCACGTCAAGGTGAGCGGTGGGATGGAGGGCACAGAGGGGACCCCTGTTGTGTGCCCAAACTTCTGTGGTGCTTTGGGGACATGCTCTGAGCTGGCACAAGGGCAACACAGTCCCAGGGACTGGTTGATGGAGACCTGGCTTTTCCCTCTGTCCTTCCCTCCCAGATCCCAGCCACAATGACAGCTGAGGAGCTCACCTTCGAGATCCTGGACCGGCGGAAAATCTTCATGAAGGAGAAGGACTATTGGAGCTGCTTCGAAGTGAATGAGAGGGAGGAGGCAGGTTGGTGTCGTGGTGTGAAGGCAGTGAGGATGAGGCCAGGGATGAGGTTAGAGATGGAGATGGGAATGAGGATGGAGGTGGAGTTGGAGAAGAAGGTCGGGATGGGGATGGAGATGGAGATGGTGGAGATGGAGATGGGGATGAAGATGGATATTGGGATGTGAATGGAGATGGGGATGCAGGTAGGGATGATGATAGGGATGAGAATCATAGAATCAGAGAATCATAGAATCACAGAATCATAGAATCACATAATCATAGACTGGCTGAGGTTGGAAAGGACCTTAGAGATCATCTAATCCAACCCCCTGCCATGGGCAGGGACGCCTCTCAACTAGCCCAGGTTGCTCAAGACCTCATCCAGCCTGGCCTTAAACACCTCAAGTGAGGGGAAGCTTGCTGCTGCAAGGTAGGGGAAGCAAGAGAAGGCTTCCATGAGGACTACACCAGGGATATGTGCTGAGATGGGCTCCAGGTGCTTGGAGCAGAACGTCTCCAGTGCCGCAGCTTTGCTCGTCGCGTCCAGGTCTCACGTAGCCAACTGCTGCCGATGGGCCAGTGGTTGGGACCAGGACTTGCAGTGCATGTCTATGCATCCTTAGGGGTTCAAATGCCTTTGAGGATTGATGGGGGTGTCCAGGCTCTCTGGCCACCAAAGGGAGCCGCCCTGGGGTGCCCGTAGGCAGCAGCAAACGAAAACTTGGCATGAGCAGGATGACACCCTGGTCCATCTGATGGACCTTGAGCTCCTGCCATCAGCTCTCACGGGGCCAAGCATGCCTAGAGGCTGTGGCTGGCAGGGAGACAGCAGGGTGCCCAGCCTAGCAGTGCAATGGGCATCTCTGGAAGCCTCAGCCGAGGTGGTTTGGTCCTTGCCAAGCCCAAATTGTCAAGCTCAGAATGACAGTACGATCAGGGTTGGAAGGGACCTCTGAAGACCATCTAGTCCAAGCTCCCTGCCAGAGCAGGCTTCCTTCAGCAGAAGGTGGGTGCTGCTCTCACCCGCCTCTGCCCGGGGAAGCGCTCAGCTGAGCACAACTCAACTCTTAAAAACTAAAAAAAAAAGGATCCTTGGGCTGTGCAAGGGCTAAAATTATCCTAAAACTGGATTTTTCACTGATAAACTTTTACGAAAGCCTTGACTCGCCCTTCACTGGCGTGGAAACAGGCATGTCTGAAATACTTCTGTGCATATTTTTGCAAGCCCGCCCGCGGCAGCTTGCCTTTTCGAAACACGTCCGTTTTGCAATCGC